CGTCCGTGTAGGCATCCAAGTACTTGGCTATAGCTCCATTTGCATCAAATGTAGCTATAGATTTACCTTTTGACGGATCTCGGTACTCTTCAGCTACGTTAGCAATGCGGCTTAGGTCGAGAACGTACTTGTTTCCTTCTCCGGCGAGCGGTCGTGCAGCAGAATCTTGTTTAAGGATGTCGGCAGCATTGACGTTCGATGGAGCATTAAAAACAGGGGTGGGGGTGCTTGTGGTACTACCGGGAGGTGAATACGCCCTAGTGGGAGAGGTGACCCCTGCGTAGGCACCAGGTATGAGCAAACCAGAAGCGCAGGCAAATAACACTATCGCTATACTAATTGAAGTGGTAGCGCCCGCTAAGCCTACTGTTTTAGCTGCACCGGTGACAACACCAACCGCCTCTTCGACAACATCTTGAGCGACGTCTACTACTTTGCCCACTATACCTTCTCTAGGCTGGCGGACACCAGACTTACTTCTGGAGCGGTTTCTACTAGAGCTTCTGCCTCTTCCTCCTCTAGAAGGATTATGACCTCTACGTGTATTGCCTCTGACTTGCGACAACCTCCAATTTTCTTGGCTGATTACATTAGCCTTCCCTACTAGCTCTTTGAGTTGTAGTCAAAGCGTTGGTCGCGGACACAGTAACATTGCGCAAGGCATTGTTTATCGTTCTAAGGTCCCTAATTATGGAACTAGAAGAAGCTTGCGCTACTGGCCGTGGGGTGGAATTATTGATGTTGTAACCACCTCTACCTCTACCACGTCCCCGACTGCCTCGGCGAGAAGGCGTGCTGTGATAGTGAGTTCTGCCTTCTAGTACACATAACCTACATTTCTGCGGTTCACAACTATCTCTGTGTACCTTGATCGAACTGTGCGTGACAAAGTATTTTCCATCGGTGGAAGCAGTGATGACACTGCAAACTTCCCCAAACTTGTTGTAAATTAGAGTTCCCGATCTAAATGCTTCACTACTTGAGAAGGTCCTGCAAAGACCATGGTAATGGTACCCGTCAGTGGATCTCGTACTAAGTACTTTAGTAGAACAATGGTCATCTAATCTGACAACTACATCTTTACCCTCAATGTTTTTTGTGACTAGTAAACTGGTCACAGGAGCAAAGAGGAATGTTGACGGAGCGACACAATCTGGATACCTAGGGATCCTGTTCGGTCGCAGATGGTGTGGCACAGGACTATCGATGTTTGAGTGCGACATCTCGAGCCTCTCCTTATCGGCGAGGTCTTTGAAAAATGCTAGCACTTCATCATCTGACATCTTGGGCTTCTCTTTCTTGGGAGCGATAACGTACGGCTCCTCATAGGGAATGCTCGGTGACTGCTCGTCCACGTCTTCTAGATTTTGGGTATCTGGAAGGTCGGCCAATGTGCTGTAGGGATTACGCCTATATAACTCAGCTTTCCTATTCATCCTGTTCCTTACGGACCTGGGGAAGTAGGACGTGCGAAGTAGATTTGTGACACCACCGGATTGTAGTTTTGAATAACCCTTTATCTCATAATATGAGAGTGGGTCAAACACAATCTTCTGTGTTCTTATCTTTAAAACAGGCGGTTCCTCACAAACGACATTAGATGTAGGCCTACGGTATAGTTCCAAAGCCTCAACCCTAATGTTTTCTAGGCAACCATTAAAGAGTTTGACTGCCTTGGCACAGTATTGAGCTCTCTCTTTCAGCTCTGCCAGTGAGGCGTCGTCAAGTTTGCCTCTACTAGACTTGATGGTATCATAATACTTCTTACTCAAAGTTTTATGTGTCGCAATGTCTTTGAGTACGGCTTCTCTACGTTTTTGCAGCCTACGCATCGCTTTTGTGCGGTCAGACCAGACTACCTTGTGGACACCTGTGCCTTTTTCAAAGGCTTGTATGGTGTTCTTATTGATAGCATCCCACAGATCACTCCAAGCGAGGTGCCTTTGTGCTAAGCGTTTCTTCTTAGCTTCTTCGGATCTGCGTAAAGCATACCAGTGCAAGGCATCCTTGTACCAAGGCGATATGCGCTTATGTATGCGCTGACGGTCGGACGTGCCTTTTACTTTTTTCTGGCACTCACGTGCCAGAGCCATCGCCTCTGCCAACTCATCGGCATTGGCAGTGGTAACGTCCAATTTCAAAAATTGAGCAATATTCTTGCTCAGTTTGGGCGCGGGGCCCTGCACACTGGTGTTCTCAGCCTTGGCCGAGAGCACTGTTTTAACTGCCGCAGCGGCGGCAGTTCCAGCAAACCCACTTATTGTGGGCGCAACGCGTCTAGCAGCGCGTTTCTTGGGCACATATGGTGCCGGCACTTCAGGTAGCTTAGCTACCTTCTCTCTAAAGGCCTTCTTGGAGGCCTTCCTCTGCACAACAGCAGCTGGCAGAGACTTGGCGGCGGGGTTGGACTTCGCACTCTTGACCTCAACTGGCCAAGATTCCAAGGTAAAGACCCTGGTGTAAGCGTATGTGCCATAAATTGGCACCAATTCCTTCATAACACGCCACAAGGGCATGTACAAAGCGGCGAGTGTCACATTTGACACTCCAAAGCGCGTCGTGACCGAGAAGTGGGTCACGCGTTTGACGTCAGCGCTTGAGACACTGGCGTCGATGTTGTATATGATCCCTTGACGGAGGGATCGTCCGCATGCCTTGACCACAGCAGCCTTGAAGACGGCTGGGTCCCTGATTCCTTCAAGGTCAATGACCTTGATTCCATCAACGTCCTGTTCCGACGGGACGTTCTTATAGATGGCATTTTGTGCCACCGGACCACGCACAAGGTTTATGACGGTTTTACCGCCATAAAACTGCACGTAGGGTGCAATGTCATTGACAAAAGTCAACTTCATTGCGGCTCAATTAGAGGGTAGAGCTACCAAGGGAGGGGGGGATAGGGCAAGAAACAACAACGGTAATAACCGGTTGCAAACAGCAAAGTGATGGTTAACTATTAATATATACTGAATGCAGCGATAGGTTAGCAGAAATCGTTGTTATAAATTTAAATTTATTAAAAATTTAAATTGAAATTAATTAATTTTTGGGATTAAGACACAGTGTAAATAATGACTGCGGAGCAGAATTCCGTTGAACTCGCGAAAGGATGTTAAACAATGATAACCTTGAATAATTCTAGAAAGTCTTAGAGACACACTGAATATACGCAAAGGCAAATAAACGTCTAACGAAGAGCGAAACTCTTCATTTCGGAATTCTCACTGTGGGGCGTGTAGCGGTCAGTCCCTCCCACCAGTAGAATTCCGAGGGGGTCACTATCATGGGGCGTGTAGCGGTCAGTCCCTCCCATCTACCATAGTACCCCCGTGTGCGGCTTGGGGGGGGAGTATGACACGGTACCGTGTTTCCCTCAGCCGCACATCACGTTATCAACCTAAATGAAAGTGTATCGGGATCTGAATCATAAGTGCACGGTGGCCTAGTGGTAAGGTTTGTCTATACGACGCCTTGGGTCGCGGGTTCTAATCCCGTACCGTGCCTCTTTTTTTCACATGATTTCCGGTACACTTTCTATAACCGGCCGTCAATCCCCGGCGGCCGTGTTATAGTTCAGCCTACATATGATATAAATTGATAAATATTTTGTTTTAAAGTGAACATAAACTATTACTGATTTTGGTCCAGCATTGGTTCTTTGTTTTCCATTTCGTAAGATTGATGGAAATTAGGAATCAATTAAAATTAATTCTCTATTCTTAAAAGAACTAAATAATAGTAAAATGATTTGATTGGTTGTTTATTTTAAAAACAAAAAGTTTTGTTGGATTGTGTTGAAATCGTAAATTTGCGAATATCTATCTTTCAAAATATATAATAGGGTAAAGATTGCTTACGCAGTTTCATTTGATTAACTAATGGAAATGCTCGTACTAGAAATCAAGAAGAATAAGATTTATAAAAATTATTTAATAAAAACAAAAATAAGTGAAGGAAAAACACAGGCGACTATACTGATTCTCCATAAAAGAGGTAGACATACGGTTAGTATTGGATGTAAAGTGTGAACATGCTCACGTAGTACTGTTCTCTACTAAAATCCTTTTTTCTTTACTCCATGGGCAATATTTCTTCCCTGCTATGGAGGTAGACGAGCCACTCAAAAACTAATCTGTTTGGGACGTAAACATAATAAATAAAAGTACTCCTGTATATTATAACTATAATAAGCTAACTGGGGAGACATTGAAGCTAATGGAAGCTTCAAAGGCCAACAGACAAAGAACTAGTGGGTGGAAACATTTTTGATCACACCAACACTAGCAGTAGTAATATTTATGTAATGATATTGGTGTTATGACTGATAATAATGTATTTAATGTATAACTTCTCATATATTTTATTGTAAACCATGGGATCGTGAAAGTTCTATTCAACTATACATAGTAGAATCTGTTTAAAGACCATTGACCAAAATAATATAAAAAAATTAAAACAGTAATAGTGATTTTGTGTTTAGCTCTGGGGATGTTATGAAATAACCACACATGAGCCGTACTAGTGCTGACATTGCACATTGCAGGCCAGCATGACCAGTGTATATAAATTATGTAGTCAGTCATATTTTGACAATAAAAACTTAAGTAGCTAAACTATCATTTTTAAACTAAAATTATAAATTATAATTTTTATTATTATATTTAATCTTAAAGTGACTGTAAAATAAATAAAAAATTAATTTATATTATAATCGAGTGTCAATTTATATTTGGTAAAGAAAACTATATACATTCCTTATTTTCGAATACTTTAACTAAGCCAACCATTGGTAACACTACTCAAGAATTCTTTCCCCTATGAATTTAGCGGACGGGTATAAAAACACAGAAAGATTGGTGAAATGTTTGACATTCTAGTTAATGGTAATTATTTGCTAAAGTACTTTTGCTACATAAATGATGCTTCCATAATAATTGAAATAGCTTATGAAATAACTTTGTTTTCAATTAATAAAATATTATATATTTTAAAATACATCATTACGGGGTGCTAAAAGCAGCGGCATAGCAAAATAATCCGTTGGGTGGAAAAAGTTGTTGTTGAAAAAATTTTCGGTCATCTTGATTTTCTATTGGTTCCGCCTTATGGGTGGTAAAATCTGATCTATTTTGAAATTGTTTTTCATCTAACAAATCAGCAAATATTATAGGTGGTATAATTTGACGTAATGGTTTTATTGTTTCTGGGGGAAACATATTAAATGGTTCAGTTAAGCCAACGGGTCCGCTCAATATTTCTACTAAATACTTAATGTAAAGCAAACGCTCTAACTGGCCATTTTCATCTGTCATTTCATCTAACTTTGCTATCCATGAATTCACTTTGTCGCGATCTCTGCTGTCTAAAATTGAATTATTTATTAGTTCATTTGCTAATAAGATTAAAATCCAATTTCAATTAATAATTTTAGTCTATAAATTTTATTAATGTCTTGTAGTAAGTTGGCTTAATGGCGGATTTTCAATAGTTTTTTGGGTAGGGAACTGTAAAATAACATGAATAACAATAAATAAAATGAAATGTTGGTTATTTTTGTTAATATTAACTACAATATAATATGTTTATTATTAAGGATTTTGTTTAGTTAAACACGAAGTGTGATCAGAAAATAACGGAAATAATTTAATTTCACGTATTTGGAGAGTCCAATTACCAAAAAAAAAAAAATTTCATAATGTCAAAGAGAGTCAATAAAAAGACTTATCTACCTAGGTTAAAGTACATTGCAGTAACAAAATATAAAGGTTACATTTTTTGAATAATTTAGATGTACAATATTGGTTATATATTATTTATAATAATTAAAATATAAAAGTTTATGAATATTACAACAAACAAGTGACGAGACATTGGTTTATGAATACGAAACTAAGGCTCAATCGTCTCAGTGGAGGGATTCTGGATCGTCTCGACAATTACGATCGAACGTGAAGGTATGCTCACCGTGCTCTTCGATTTTAATGGCATAGTCAATACTTCCCACGAGGTCAAACGGTCAATAAGAAGTACTATCTAAAAGTTCAACACCGTTTATGTGAAGCAATCCGAAAAAACGCCCGTATTTGTGGCACAATAATTCATGGCTTGCCGTACGTACGTCGGTAGTGCCCCGACGTAGACACAAATAGTAGTACACAAATTAACAAATGTTTTTTGACAACGAGAAGGTTGTCGTTTTTAGCTCTTCTCGAGTTCTCCCGTCGGATACACTAGTCTCTCAAATTAGTGAACTATTAAAGCGGTAGAGTTTAGACCCGTCAGCACGGTTTAGCTCAAAAGTAGCAGGTTGAAGGGTGGCTCCTCGTCAGCCACTAGCACAACTACCTTTTTACTATACTTGCTAAAGGACGGTTAAGCCCAAATACTAGCCAGCACGCACACTAATTATTATTAAGATTGACTAAAGGACCAGCAGTCCAACCTCGATTCTTGCTGCACACACACACACACAGTTTTAACAGTACGGTGGATATAAACATCTAACCTATGTGCAGGTTTTTAAATAGTTATTTTATTTAAGAAACGTAATAAACACAAAGTCAAAATTTAATATAAAAATGTAATACAAAATAAATTAAATCGTACAAAATACAAAGTTAATCGCATCAGATATCCTGACCCGTAACTCGAAGTTTCTTCGTCAGACCCACACTCCTTTTCATGTTTCCCTTTTGTATTCTTTTTCCCATCATTATTAATTTGCTTACCCTGCTATTCCCTTTTATATGACATTATCGTATTGCTCGAGAATTCAAAAATTGCTTACTACTGTTGTCAATTTTGTATTATACTAAAATGGCCGTTATTCAGCTATTTACTGCAGACTTTTGTACAACAAAGCACCTGCTCACTCTTCATTGCATGTTCGAAAATTTTTGGACAAAAACAATACTATAACGATGTCATAGCCTCCATATTCGTCAAATATGGTGTTCCGTGTGACTTTTCTATTTCCAAAAATAAAGAGAATCTTAAAGGGCCGTCGTTTTACAAGCATAGATTACATTAAAAGCTCATCGCTTAATGAGCTAAAGGTTATCACATAGATTAAGTTTAAGAGATGTTTCGAGGATTGGAAGAAGCGTTGGCACAAGTGTATAATATTTAACGGTGACTATTTTGAAGGCGACAACATTAATATAGACTAATAAATAAATATTATTTTAAACTATATTAATTTTTTACTTTTAGCTTCGATGCGAAGCTGAGAAGGTATTGGTTTTATTAAGATGTGTTTATTTTTTTTTTTTTTGTGTCTGTTAACACTTTTTCTCAGCTCTCACCGAACCAATTTCTTTCAATGATACGTCAAAAGATCACAAATTGTATCTAGTCGAAGACATTACCCTCAAAAATTGAAAAAAAATTCCCTCGTTCCCCGTAAATGGGGGAAACCTCCGAAAAAATTACAAATTTAATAATGGCTAATTTTCGAAATTTTTTCAATTTTTTTTACTAAAAACTGCTGTAACTTTTTTAAAAATAAACATATCAATATAATTATTTTTTTTATAGATGCATGATGTCATTACCTATCATTTGGTATATTTTTTTTATAAATCTGACTTTTTACCTGCCCACAGGGAGGGATTTAAAATGACAACTTTTTTACAAAAAATTAATTTTTTCAACTTGACTTTTGAAAATGTTCCGGAAAGTCTGATACTTTTATATATATCTTAAATTAAAACTAATGTAATTAACTTTATCATGAAAAAAAAAAAATTTTGTACGTTATTTTGTCTTCAGGGTGAAAATGGCTACCAAATGCTATTTTTGTGTGAAAATGTTCGATTTGATTTTTTACATTTTTAACTTTATTATGCTATAACTTTTTGAAAAATGTATGGATTAATACAATTTTTTTATAAAAAATAATACTTATGTACTACATTCATTCGTCATACTTTTTTTTTAAATCGGACCATTTCCCTAAATACAGGGGGGATTCAAAACATAAAAATGCATATAGAAAGTAGAACTTTTTCAACGTAACTTTTGAAAGTGTTCCGGAAGGTCTGACACTTTTATATATATCTTAAATTAAAGCTAATGTAATATGCTTTATCATGAAAAAAAAAAATTTCGGACTTTATCTTATCTTCATGGTGAAAATGGCTACCAAATGCTATTTTTGTGTGAAAATTTTCGATTTTGTATTTTACATTTTTAACTTTATTATGCTATAACTTTTTGAAAAATGTATGGATCATTACAATTTTTTTATGAGAAGTAGTATTTATATAGATCTTTCATTCGACATACTTTTTTTTTAAATCGGACCATTTCCCTTAATACAGGGGGGATTCAAAACATAAAAATGCATATAGAAAGTAGAACTTTTTCAACTTAACTTTTGAAAGTGTTCCGGAAGGTCTGACACTTTTATATATATATTAAATTAAAGCTAATGTATTATACTTGATCATGAAAAAAAAAAATTTCGGACTTTATCTTATCTTCACGGTGAAAATGACTACCAAATGCTATTTTTGTGTGAAAATGTTCGATTTTGTATTTTACATTTTTAACTTTATAATGCTATAACTTTTTGAAAAATGTATGGATCATTACAATTTTTTTATGAGAAATAGTATTTATATAGATCTTTCATTCGACATACTTTTTTTTTTAAATCGGACCATTTCCCTTAATACAAAGGGGATTCAAAACATAAAAATGCATATAGAAAGTAGAACTTTTTCAACTTAACTTTTGAAAGTGTTCCGGAAGGTCCGACACTTTTATATATATCT